CAATATTTCTTTGAAACTTCTTATGTAATCCAAGTTTCAAGTGGATGAATCTTGAGTTCAAGGAATTTCCTACAAATCAATTAAATATTTTCAACGGTAAAGATAATACATGGGACTTGAGATATAGATGAAATGTTGGTAAGACACAATTTTCATAAATAGCAATACTAAATCTCAACTTTAAGGAAATAGCCCATTGGACATGGATGCTTGAAAAGTGACTCTAGGTGAGATCAAACACACAATTACTAATTTTGATGATTAAAGAAAAACGTGTGTAATAATACTCACCCAGAATCATCTCCAGCCTTGATATAGAGGAATCCATGTGGCTTGCTGCGTTTCTAATATACAATATATTTTCCAAGCAGGAACAGCCTTCAGCCTCTATTCCGAACAAATTGATTTGAGATCATTTTGGAATTTCATTCGTCATGCAACCAAATGCTGTGAAAATAGAGACGCAGTCAAATTCTAAAAAATCATGAATTTCCGTTTTACGAAGTTGTGAAAACTAAATCGATATGTCCCTCACGATAAATAACTTGAAAATATCCATGAACGGAAAAGATAACCACCCAAATATTGAAGGATTACAAAAATAAACCAAGATATCGATTGCATGAAACCATGCCTATCGCCATTTTCTGATAACCAAAATTAAGTTACGGTAATAAATATTTCTAGGAACTCTTCTTTCACGTACCTGTTATTATGTTCAAACAACTAACACTTCATGAAAAGTCGGAAAAGGAAGATTATGTTAAGGTATTTGAAACAACGTGATACTATTCAAGCGGTCAATCATCTAATCGATGTTGCTCAGGCCATCGTCTGAACGGAAGAGAGCTAGCCCTTGTCCCTTCGAGAAAAATTTAATTCGCTCATGCGTATTTTATTCATACCCACAGACCCAAATTTGATATTGCGTTCTGTAAAAATAAAAGTGTTGTAGATTTCATTGATGGTTCGGCTGTCTTCCACAAGATGCTCTGGTATGTACGAAATCACTATTATTGATTTATTCAATGAATCCAACATTTTACTCTTGGTCATTATATAGTGGCTCATGTGAATGATAAATTCAGGTATTAAATATGATGTAACGTTTAACCGTTACATTGTAAGGCTGTGGTTGTGGTCTTTCGAATGTCCAACAGTTTACACATTTCTTGGAACAGGTTGAACCCGAAATTACTGCCCTACCAGGACTTCAGTGACGGTTAATTCTTCCTGGTTGGATAGGGCATAGGCTTCTGCCCACTTACTGAAGTAGTCCATGTCTACCAGGATATTCCCATGGTCCGACTCTGGAAACGGGCCGGCGATGTCGATGGCGATTCGCTCAAATGAACTACCCACGTTATACTGGCGCATTGAATCTTTCGGTCGTATCCGAAGTCCGTTACTGGCAGCACATACATCACACTTTCTGTACCAGTCCTTGACGTCGGCTTGACAATTAACTCCGTGAAACCGTTGTCTCAGTTTCTGGAGGGTTGTTGTTACTCTCAGATATCCTCCAGTGACTCCATCATAGATTTCTTTGACCATCTCCCGTCGTCTGTTCCTGGGTACCACTGTCTGGCGCTTTACTTCTCCACCGTCTTCAGACTCCCTCACCCGCTTCAGAACCCCGTTTTTCAAGGTGAGACAGTTCCATTGGGCCCAGTAAGACTCAACCGCTGGCGAATAACCTGCTACCTCCTGCCACGATGTGCTTTGATTTTCCTCCATCCGATGCTTAAACCAGAATCTGGGTTTTCTCTTGGTCTTCTTGATCTTATTGTTCTCATAATTATCGTCTACAGATGTAGTTCTACAAATAGCTGCTTCCTTCTCTTCTACTCGTCGGTAATGTGAGCAGTCATCGGGGCATGGTATCCGTGACAGGGCTTTTGCATTTTTATGGCTAGTCCCAGCTTGATTTTCTATTTCGAAGTCAAATTCTCGAAGCCTCTCGATCCAGCGCGCTACTTGGACTAACTAATGGCTAATGGACTAACTTGGAACTTGAGATATCTGAACTGTAGAATCCATTTGAGAGCTGCATGATCCATTCTCAATAGAAATCTTCTTCCATAAAAGTATTTGTAGAAATGCTCTACACCTTTGACAACGGACAACTCTCGCCTTGTGACACAATAATTACGCTCTGGTTTACTGAGTGTTTTGAAGAAGTAGCCAATAACTTTCTCTTGTCCCCCCTGTATCTGAGAAAGGAATGCTCCAAATTCCACGTTGCTGGCGTCCGTATCTAAAATGAACTTTGCGTCGGGTAGGGGATAGCTTAAAACAGGAGCGTTCATCAAATCTCTTTTCAACTTCTTCAATGAGTTTTGGCATTCCTCGAACCACTGGAACTGAATCCGTCCTTCTGTGAGTCGGATCAATGATTTGGCGATGTTGGCAAACCCCAGCACATATCTGCGATAGTAGGTGCACAAACCAAGGAAGCTCGGAAGCTGATGTATGTCTTTTGGAATGGGCCAATCCTCAACTGTTTTGTTCTTTTGTTCGTCTACCGCCACTCCTTCTCCAGAGACAACGTGGCCAAGGTAGCGGACTTCTTTTTGGAACAGATGGCATTTCTTGGGACTGAGTTTTAATCCGGAACTTCTCAGATGCATGAATACCTTCTCCACATTTTTCAAGAGATCATCGAACGATTTTCCGACCACGATTATATCGTCGAGATACAGTAGGCACGTCTTTCATGAGATTCCTTTGAGAACCGACTTTATCAATCGCTCGAAGGGCGCTGGAGCATTACAAAACCCGAATGACATAATCGTGAACTGTCACAATCCTGAGCCGATGGTTAAAACTGTCTTTTCTCGATCTTCTGGCGTTAATTCTACTTGCCAATATCCACTCTTCGAAACCAAAGTCTAGAAAATTGTGGAGCTGGCTGCGTGTCTAGTATGTCGTCAATTCTCGAAAGAGGGTAGCTGGCTTTCTCGTCACGTTATTAAGTTGACGATAATCCACGCAGAACCTTGTCGAGCCGTCCTTCTTCACTAGTACGAGTGGGGAAAACCGGGGCTGTCAGAAGGTTCGATTAATCCTTCTTTTCCCATATCGGTGACTATCTTGCCTGCCTCTTCTTTCTTGGCAAAAGGAAGTCTTCTAGCTGATTGCCGGATTGGTCTAGCATTCCCAGTGTGGATCCTATGCTGAACCACATTTGTTCTGCCGCCTTTTTCTTCTCCAATATCGAAGATTTTCTGGGACTTCTTGACTAACTGCCTCAATTTTGATAGGTGAGTTGGTGGTATGTCCTTGTATGAAATGTCATTAAACTTCTTCAACCCTGTAGGCAAGTTGTTGGCTTGGCTAACCGAACTGTGTACACTCCGTATTACAGAGGAAATGGACGAACAGCTCCCCAGCATTGTTCCTTTCTTCAAGGTCATGGGAAAGTAATTGACATTCATGACCCTGACTGGCACAACTTCATCAACACGCAACAGGTCTTTCTCATCGTGTATTTCGGGCTCGAAGATTACCACCTTTCCGCTGCCCACACTTACGTCCAGACGAGCCTCCAGGATGGTTTCAGACCTCTCAGGTACACACACGTTTTCAGCCAACAGAACCCTGATCATCTCTTCGCTTCTTTCATGAAGCACCAGCTCTTCTCCGCCGACACGTAGGATGCCGAACCCTCTGGAATTCATTATGTCCATTCTAATGATGGCATCGTCCTCGACGTCTGCCACCAATGCTCGATGGTTCAATTTGGTGCTGCCCAACATCCATTCAATTAGTTTTCCAAGTATAGTGGCTGGTTCCCCTGTTGCGGTGCGTAGCTTCCAACTTGACGATTCAATTCTTGCCGGTGTTTTGGCAAAGGTTGGCCCAAAAATGGTTCTCGTCGTACCGGTATCTAGCAGCATAGTGCAAGGCTCATTATTGATGAAGCCGTCTACGAAAACACCTTTGTCTTATCGTAGGAGAATGACAACATATGCGTTTTTTACGGGGGCTTGCTGGTTACAAGCCGACTGTCCCTTCTCATCGACCCCCTCTAGTTTTCTTGATTTGGTTCCCAATTTTCCCACAGTCCCAGCATCTCATTTGTTTTCTCTCAGGCAGCACTTCTTTCATTACCTTACTAATGGTGGCCCCAATATCAACAGGCACCTGTCCATCTTCCTCGATAGTTCGAGCTTTGCTCTAGTTCTTGCAGGATTGTTTTGCAGCCTTGCTAGTGCATCCACGAGATGTTTGGGATGAGCTAGTGTCAAGAACTGCCTCGTTTCTTAATCGCGAAGTCCGTCCAAGAATGCATGAACTGCCATATTACATTTCACGGTGTAGCAGAATATGACAGACGAACCAATCGAGCAATGTCGATTACAAATTCCTGTAGGGATTCTCCTGATTTCTGGCAGCGGTTCTTCAGCTGTGAATGGTAAACTTGCTCTAGGTGGGCCTGCTCATACCGCAGCTCAAAATGCTTTATAAGTTGGTCATAGTCTTCCGTGGGGGTTTGCAAAATATTCGTTGCTTCCCCACGCAACGTCAGTGTTGATGCTACCGCCTTTTCCCCTGCATTCCGTCCATTCGCTCTGGCAGCAGCTTCGAATTGTCGACGGTAATTTGCCCAAGGAGTTTTTATGTCGAAGTGGGTCGGCTTCATGGAGAGTTTTTCTGGTTCAGAACTGACCTTTGACATCTTTCCTTGCCTTTTGAAGTTCTTCCATGTTGAAACTCAGTTCCGGAATTGAGTTTTCGGTAACAATTTCTGTGGTGTTGGTAGAATTAACGATTTGGTTTTAGCAACTTGCTAATTGTTTCCTTCATCTTTTTGATTTCAGTCTGAACTCCGCCTTTGATTTCCTCTACTTCCGTGTTCATTTTCGTCATGATTTTGTCTATCTCTGTCTCGATGGTTCCTATCATTTCTTCAGGGAGACTCACCACATAACAAAGTTCTCTCTTTAAACCTTCTGCATTTTCTAGAAGTTTTTCCTTCAAGCTATTCGAATTCTCTAGAAATTTATCTTCCAAACTTTTCGAATTCTCTGTAAATTAATTTCCAAACTTTTTGAATTTTCCAGAAGCTTCTCTTCGAGGCGTACCGAATTTTGTTGAAGTTCATCGAGTTTGCTCATTATTGAACTCAATTCACCCCCAGGAACTTAAAATGAATATGTTTCGGGATCTTCTGCTGATTCAGTCAAGTCATCGCTCAGTCTGCCTATGTCTATTTTCCACAAAACTGTATATGTCCTTATTTACTTTCACAAGCCTATTTTTCGCGAGAAAGGTCTATCAGTTTATATTTCCGTAGTCCGGTACTGTCCACTTCGGAAAACAACGAATAACCAGTCTCTCTGCGCAAACAAATAAGTCTTATAGTCAATTTCCTCGCAATACAAAAATTCTCCACCAAGCGCTCACAGATTTATATTACAAATCCACTCCTGATCACTTGTAACAAATTGATAAATTAACTGTCATGAACAAATTTATTTTCAATAATATTTCACTAACCACAAACTAATTTATTCATTACAACACTTAGCAACTAATGCTTAATTTATTTCCATTATTTTAATTTCTTGTTTAGCCGCTCGAATCACTTTCTGAAATGCCGTCTTGGGTCGGGAAAACAGGCTTATATCGGTAAAGGTTCTTTCGAGAATTTTGTAGTCGGTTCGGTACTAGAATTTTACCAGCGATTCCCGATTGCATCCTCTTGAGGTGAGGTCATGTGTTTGTTCGATGAGTCGGCTGGCCTATCGGTCAGGGGCGGCTTCAGGTTCGTTATAATTCCGATAAAACTTTTGTTCAATTCGAAGACAATAAGGAAAGATATATCTTCACCATAGAGGAATAAGCTAGTTCTTGTATAAAAAGAAGACCATTACTGTGAATGATAAGAAAAGCGATATCTTTTCAAGAGTGGAATGAGTTAGAAAAAGACCATTACTGTGAATGGTGAAAAATGCATGGAGAAAAGTTTTCGACCAAAATAACTCCATCCAATAAAAAGCCATTGGAATAAATTACCAGAGGAGAGAAAATGTAGACTACTCAGTCTATCCTCAGTAAAAACTGAATATCTTCTAGGGTTCTATAATGGGAGTCTGAGATACGACCGCATATATATACACTTTAAAGTTTCCTCTGAAACAGCTAGCACCTAGACAACTCAACTAGATGATTTGGCATTTCGGTTTTCGAATAGATTAAAGAATAGATCAGATATAGTAAAATATTCCATAAAACTGTGTTTCCACCAAACAAATAAAATTCCTAATTTGTATAATGCCATAAAACTCTGTAAATTAACAAAAAGTTTGCATTCAGTGAGAAAGAATATTTTAATCATTTTGTCATGCAAGTAATATCAGTTATATTCTTTCTCATTCGTTTTATGAGAAACAAAAATCATGCATATTCAAATACTACCTATCAATATATGATCTATGACGAAACTTTCAAATTATTCCTGATTGATGAAAAGACAGTATCCTAAAAAATATATGATATTACAACCTTTCACCTTTTAAGTTCATTTCATCCTTACATTCTTTAAAATGGCACTGAATATATACTATCAAAAGGGTTATATTTTTAGGAGAGACTAATTTTTGTATCAAGATGAAGTAGTAGAAAGCCAAAATCTTTCTTTTGGACAAAAGTTTTTGGTGAATTCCCTAGCGACATTCAAACATGATAGTAATCAAAGCTAACAATATCAACTATCCTCCCATGATTTCAAAGTTGAATATATAAAAAATGTTTTTGTTCTAATATATAATTGGAAAATCCTATAAGTAATTTTTTTTTTCAGCACCACCCTCGTACGATTCTCTTCAGCACAAGAAGTAACTGGATGAATATATATGTATTTGTTTATGATTTGTATATTTATTATATATATACTTTTGCAGTGTGGTATCATTCTATGGAAACTTATGAGACAATTCTCACTTCTCTCACTTCTCAAGAAATATGTAAGATCAAACTATTGAAATCATACAATATTACAGTGCCTAACTCAAATTATTTTGAAATTTTAATTGTTTGCGTTTATATTCTCAATTGTGAATTTTTTATAATATATGAGGTCGAATAGGTATGTGCTAATAAATTTGTGTTACTGAAAATTGTGTTTGATGGTTGATAAACTCATGAATATGTTCGATATCAGTTTCAAAACGAAATTTATGGAAATAAAAGTATTAAAAATATCACACCTCCTTTATTTCTTACTCTATATAACTTTTTCCAAACCATAATGAAAATACTATCTTTCGATGAGTGTTTCGCCTACTAAATCAGCATCACCAGGAAATGAGAGATATTATTTTTGTTGAAACAAATATTTTCAAAAAAATTTCCTTTACAATGGAACCATATTACTCAATAGCTGCGTCGATCCTTTGCCTTTACACATGTGCATCGAAACAGCAAGAGTTGTCAGGTATTCTCACTATTTTACTCGAATCTGTTATGGTCGGAAATCTTTAAAAACGGACAGAAATTTAACTTTCACCCAATATATCGCTGGGATTTTCATTTCAATAATCGTCTGCTTTGATATTGTACACCATGGGTGAGTCCTAAGAACAATTTATCAAATATAATGTTGATTTATAAAAGTTTCAAGAACCTTCTGCTTATCTAGATGAAATCGTATGAATTCAGTAGATCAGATACATGGCTTCTATTACGTATTCCTTAGGGGAAGTAATTACGGTGGTGAGTGGGAAAGAGAGGTGTGCGACGAGATCGACGCATAGAAGGATGGAATGAGCATCGAGTAGATTCATTTGATAGATAAGGACGCGGTGGAATTACAAAAATAAAGGTATAATATTAATAATGAACGAAAAATCGAATTAAAGAAAAAACATGGCCACGGGCGTTAAAGAAAAAAATATGGTTGCCAATGTAATAGAAAAAAACATGGCTGTCATACAGGGTGTCTCATCGTTTAGAAAAAAACAAGTACGGGGTGTCTCAAATACGTCAGCATGGAAAATAACGGTGTAATATTAATAATGAACGAAAAATCGGATTAAAGAGAAAAACATGGCCACGGGCGTTGAAGAAAACAACAGGGTGTCTCATCGTTTAGGAATAAATATGTACGAGGTGTACGTCGGCGTGAAAAATAATGGTATAATAATAATAATGAATGAAAAATCGGATTAGAGAAAAAAAAACATGACGTCAATGTGTACAGGGTGTCTGAAAATACGTAATTTAAAAAACATGACAGTTTAACAAGGCTCTATGGTTTTGGTGTGTGATTCTTCAATGTATAGAGGGTGTCTCATTTAGAACGAAAAATCGAATTGAAGAAAAAAACATGGCCACGGGCGTTAAAGAAAGAAACATGGCTGCCAACGTAATAGAAAATAACATTGCTGTCATACAGGGTGTCTCATCGTTTAGGAAAAAAAAAAGTGTCTCAAATATGTCAGCGCGGAAAATAATGATATAATAATAATAATGAACGAAAAATCGGATTTAGGGGGAAAAACATGACCACGGGCATTAAAGAAAAACATGGTTGCCAACGTAATAGAGAAAAACATGTACAGGGTGTACGTCGGCGTGAGAAATAATGGTATAATAATAATAA